TGGCCTTAACGGATTTCCATCTTTTCTTATTTTTCTACTTACGATAATTGCAATTTTATCTACATTCGTCTTGTCTATTATATGAAGCGATATTAAGATGCTATTATGAGATTATTAAACTTAGATTTGAAAGCTATCATCATGTCTAGGCCTAGACTAGTGTTAGTTAAAGATAGGATTGCATGAATTTGGAATTATTTGATTTTGCAGGTTTAAAATAGTTGACATTATTAATATTCTTGGTTCGACCTTGTTTTCACAATTTGGTCGGAGCGTCAGGGAGACCTTGTGGAATGTGTCTAGTCCCGTGTCCTCTGCCATAGTATTCGTGATTTCCAGCATTGGACCATTGACTGGGTACATTCCCAAACGTTTCGCCTGCATCGTAGTCTGTGAGAGGCGCCATCGTAAGTACAGAGCTGCAACTTATCAAAGTGACACGGGATTAGGTACGTTCTACGAGGTCTCTCTGACGCTCCTATCAAGTTGCGGAAACAAGGTTGAACTAATGCTATAAAGCTAAAGGAAACTGAAACCAAACAGAAAGCCACACCATCTTGGTCTTCATATCTACGATTATTAACAATATTATGGTGTTCGTACGGTAATTTATAATGAGCCTCAAGCATGCAGCAAAAACTTTTGTGCTGCTTTTCACATTTTCATACTTCTGCTGCCTTATGCAGATCCAGAATTTGATCAAGGCCACTCGATCTGGTACTGCCCGAGGAGCTTCAGGAGGTTATGACATTGCTCGAATTTCCTGGCTAAATGAATGTTTAGAGGCCTGTCGTCTTCTCCCATGGCAACCTAGTGATCTGATTTCTGCTCGCCCTAGCACCCGGAAACAGCTTGCCGCTAAATTTGATGTATTCGGCGACAGTTACACAGAACTTTTAGACGACCGGCTTGATAGACTGACCAACCTGCTAGCTACCATGGACAAGCTCATCGAGCCGCCAGTGGTCAGCGGCTTTTCAACTGAGATGAGTACAGTACGGAGCACGGATGAGACAAATATGGATGGACTTTCTGCCTGTAAAGGCTTTGACTCTATCTCAGGAGAACTAGATAATGTCCTAACGGTTAGTATTTAAATGGCCCACAGGCCTCTAAGTGGTCCCAATTATGTTGATTACTTGTATATCTTGCCATATTTTAAGGAACTGACCATCATCAAATAAGCCCTACTCAGTTCAACTTAGTGTACCTATTTTCAATTTAAGGCATATTAATGTTCTTACGCTTTTCCAATATTAAGTTCAATCATCCGAACTTAATTTGTCCTATCTAGTACCCGTAAGATGTCTTCCGGAAACTTGATAGGTCTTTTTCTTCATGGTTACGCTAAAGGCTTTCAAATACCCCTAAGCTCCTGCTTGTTTTATTTTAATGGGCTAGTAATTTTTTTTTTAATCATTGGTTTTCCTTAAATTTTCATATGTTCTATAAAAAAAATAAGCTGATCTCCCATATTGCTAGCTTGCAATTTAACAAAACCATATATCATTTCGGGATGTTTTATTTCCGAGGTCCATCTTTTCTGCAACTTCGCTTAAATGACCCAGTTTTGGGATGCTCTGGCTTAATTTATACTAGCTTTCGTATGACTTGTCCATTAATCTCATTACGCTTCCAGGTCGTTATTGATCCAGGATAGCGCCATATTTTTCGAGTATTTATTTTTCTCTAACCATTGGGCTTTTACATCTCTTACTCTCTTAAGGCTCTTATTTAAATCTTATAATGGCATATACAATACCATTCTCTCGCACTTCCAGATGGAAATTGACCACTTCGACCTACAGACCTGCTACTTTGTGGAAGTGAATATAAGGACGAAACATTATCGATACAATTAGAATGCCGTTGAATGAATAGTATCTATATTGTCTGAATCACTGTAAAAGTGTTACGCTGGGCCACTTAAATCGTTGACCGTATGGTCGAGGCTATACCTGCCATATCGAGGCTATACCTGCCATATCCACCTCGAAATACATTTAATCACGCGTTAACCAAAGCTATATATCTCAATGCACATTAAAGTCTGTCTTACTATAAGGAAATTCGAGCAGTATCTGTCATTCAGCAGAGCCTACCATACACCTTTGATACAACATTAATGATAGCACTACAGTAAGTTTTCACATTTGTATTTATTCAGCTGGGTGACCCCCTACCTTTTTCCTAACAGAGTGGCCTCATTATAAGTTCTTCACGTAAATTTAACCGAGCGTAAAACTTCCGGTCTAACATTTGTATAGGCATGCATTTCTTATACTACTATTATTACTACCAATGCTAGCAATATATAATACA